TTAATGTAAGATAGATACATTTCTGTTAAAAAAAATTTAAGTGAGTCTTGTTAACACCACTGCACTCCAGCCTGGGCAATAGAGCAAAATCTGAAGAAGGAAAGAGAGAGAGAGAAAGAAAGAAAAAGAAAGGAAGGAAGGAAGGAGGGAAGGAAGGAAGGAAGGAAGGGAGGGAGTGGAAGAGGGAGAGAGAAAGAGAAAGAAGGAAAGAAAGGAAAGAAGGAAGAAAAGACGAAGAAAGGAAGGAAAACAAAAAATGTTTCAAGCTTTACAGTAGCAAAGCCACTCTGTGATGAATAAACAACAAAACCAAAACAAAAAAGGATTCTACCAACCAATCTAACCAACAATACAATTATAAAGTTGATTCGAATATCAAAAACCAATTTCAATACTAAATGTATGCTATGAAAACTCCACAAAGATCAAGTAGGATGTATTATACTTGAATGAATTTATGAGCTGAGAGCAGGAAATCTATAAATTTAATCAAACAAACCTAAGAATTATGAGGAAATTGTACTGCTAATGTATTATTTGACAAGCTATTCAGTGGAACACAAAGATATTCTTAGTGAAGTTGCATATATATTTTAAAATGTTATCGAGGTAGATTTTTTAAAACGAGGAGATGAATAACTTGAAAAAGTATTCAGGGATAAGGAGAAAAATACATTTAGATTGTTTACATATATAAAATATATTTTAAAAGATAAGCTTGCCTTTTTTAATTCCTTAAATAAAAGGAATGGATATTCAAATTCCATGCCTTTCATTTTAAAATTTAGGAAAGGCTTACAGCTTCCCACACTGAAATCTATACTAACACAGCTAATCTAATCAATGGATAAGAAAATGAAAACACAGGAAATTCTCTTGACCAATCTATTTTCTTGATTCTTAAAAGTCCAGATGTATACTCAAAGAAAGAAAACGATTAATAATTGATTCTGTTATTTGGAAATATTTACTGATTATTTACTTTACACTAAGTGATCTCCAGCTCATGGAGATAGATCAGTGGAAAAGTATGGAAGCTACCCAGGTTTGTTAAGCTTAAATTCCAGTGAGGGAGAAAGGAAGTAATGGAGCAGGTCCTTTGAAACAGGAGTGTTGGCCGGGCGTGTATGGCTTACGCCTGTAATCCCAGCACTTTTGGGAGGCCAAGGCGGGTGGATCACCTGAGGTTGGGAGTTCGAGACCAGCCTGACCAACATGGAGAAACCCCGTCTCTACTAAGAATACAAAAAATTAATTGGGTGTGGTGATGCACGCCTGTAATCCAGCTACTCGGGAGGCTGAGGCAGGAGAATTGCTTGAACCTGGGATGCGGAGTGAGCTGAGATTGTGCCACTGCACTCCAGCCTGGGTAACAAGAACCAAACTCTGTCTAAAAAAAAAAAAAAAAAAAAAAAAAGGAAAAATTAGCTTGGAATTCTAAAAATTGCATACTATGGTTGCTGTGTAGAGACTGGATTGAAGAAAAGGGCAATGATGAAAGCTTAAATTCGTATAGAATATGGCTGGCCTATAATTTTGAGGGTCCCTGAAATAAGAATGTATAATTGTTCTCATTATTTCCCCAAATAATCTCTGCAGTAGAGCCCTGACCGTGTGAGGGAGGTACTGTAGTTACCAAGTGGTGAGGGTGGGAAGGTGAATTTGAAAACAC